AGCAGAGTGATGGAGCAAACACTTGGGTGTGAGGATTGCTCAGCCTCTGGAGCATCATATTGACGGGTACAGAATAGTGCTTTCCTCACTCCAGCACTTTTTCACAGGTCAGGATAACCATGGTTTTTTCCCTTCCTGCCACATAAGATGCTTGCGCACTCACTGTATGCTGCCGGGCAAGGGAGACACGTGACCCCATCCAGAAGGCTAAAGGTTGCTCATGTAACTGCTGTGCTGGAATCTGAACAAGACACAGAACACTTTTGGGACAGCTGATTTAAGAAGTCGGCTTCTTGCCTTTTCAGAGCCTCAGGGCTGGGAATTGCCACGAAATCTACGTGAAATAATTCCAGCACTTGGACAGCTCCTTGTTCACAGCTGCAAACAGGAACTCAATGTTTTTTGCATGGGGGTTTCTTGATGCATGATCTGCAGTCTGCCTGAAAATCATTAAAGACCTGGTCAGTTATGAGAATCATCGAATGCAGCAAATAACAGTTAGCTTTCTTGAGTGCAGAGAATTTGGGAATTTGGGCCCAACCGACTTCTGAAGAACTTGCGTATAAAGAGAGCGCATGTAGTATCAAAATATAGCATGCACTCCTGAAACCCTTTTGTGGAAGCACCTAATGCCTTCTGCCTTTGCCAAGAGATAGTGTCGCTTGTTATCTAATGGACTTGGCTGGGAAATGGGAAATCCTGGATTGAAATCTCACCCTGCTGTGAGCTCACCTTATTGGAATTCATGTTTTATTTCTTTATTTAGAAATTTATTTAGAAAATGTATGTCACCCCTTCACAGAGCTGCTCAAGGCAGCTCACAGGATAAAACAAGATCTAATAATAAAAACATAATTGATATTAACACACCATTACAAACCCAGCCAATAAAAATGCAGAGCATAAACAGCATTAGAAGCTTGTTCATACAAACAATTAAAAACCAAATGACCCTCATAAGCAGGGGTCATTTCCTGCAGGAGCGCACAGGAGCGGAGCTCCAGCAGTAAAGAGCCCAGGGGGCGGGCACATGCAACAAGCCCCACCCCCTGCTCCCAGCAGCCCTCAGTCAGAGCAAGAAGCAGCCAGGTAAGTTGCAGAGCTCCCCACCACCAGTCCAAAACAGTTCAGTGGCACCTTTAAGACCAAGTTTTATTCAGGTACGAGCTCTCCCTCTTCTGCGAGGACAGACCTGCATGTTCCCCCCCCCAATAGCTAGCAATCCGAAACAGTCCAGTGGAGCCTAAGCAGTGGGTGTTGCCTTCTGACACACTTCCGGTGATGCCAGGGGGTGTGGCATATGCAAATGAGTTATGCTAATGAGTTATGCTAATGAGCTCCTGCACCTCTTTTTCTACGAAATGACCCCTGCTCATAAGAGTTTTCTGAATAGAAACACATAGTAAAGAACAAAAGTTCAAACCCCCCCCCATATCTATATCAGGGTCTTCTGGCATAGGCCCCTAAAAGCACTGGTTTTCTCTGTTGGCTTACATGGGGTGAGACTGGACCATTTCATGCTCATAGTCCTTCCCTCAGTGTTCTATGACCTCAGCAGCAATCACAGCTAAGGAACAGCTTGAAAACCACTTTAGACTGAATTTGCGTATGGTATTTAAAGTGCTTTTGATCCCCTCCCCTCTCTCTCTGTTGTGCATCCTTGAAAGACAGAATGACTTTTTCAAATCTGCTCATATCAGGTTTCTAAATCAATTGATGGCTGGGCAGGAAGATGGGATTAAAATTGCATTTCAACCTTTCCTGCAATTTTGATCTCATCCCCGAACAAATGGACTGTGCTCTGAAATGCATGTTTATTCCTCCGCCCCACAAAGCTGTGCATTTGGGAATGTCTGTTTTTTAAATTATAGTGGCGCGACAAGGCAGTGTGCAAGTCTGTGCTTATGTTTCAGCCCCATACCTATGCAGGAGTGAAATAGCATAACTGACAGGTGATTTTTTTTTTAAAATACAGCAAATACTGGGCTTTGTGTGTCATCCTTGCGCAGGGGCCATGTTCTCTGTATCATCCCAGTTTTAGGATATGTGCTGCCAAAGCTGATTCTTTGGAGCTGATTTTGTATTGAAATAAACAGTTGATTGAGTGGGCTTTGGTTTTGGATTTTGCTATGGATCAACTTTGGCCACCAAATAGCTCAAGAATCAGGAGGCGGAAGAATTTTTTGCAGACTGGATAGATCTTAAAGAATATCTGGAGAAATATTGGGATGTGAAGAATAATCTATGTTCCTTTGATAACTATTAGAGATAGAAGGATATTTAGAGTTAGTTCAAATGTGTAAGAATAATAGTTTAAAGAAATGTTACCTTATAAGTTTAATTATTGATGTGGGGAGAAGAAAATAGAAGATTTGGAAGGGAGGTGGGAGGACTGCGGGAAGCCAGAAGGGGGGAGATAGGGGGAGAAAAGGATATAAGATGGATGCTAAAATGTTATATTGGTTGACTTGATGTTATATCCAAATAAAATTGTTTTTAAAAAAAACTTTGGCCACCAAATGAGAAGAGAGCACTCACTGGAGAAGACCCTGATGCTGGGAAAGATTGAAGGTCAACGAAGACGGGGACGGCAAAGGATGAGATGGTTAGACAGTGTCATCGATGCAACGAACATGAAATTGAGCCAGCTTCAGAGGGCGGCGGAAGACCGGAAGGCCTGGCGTGACCTGGTCCATGGGGTCGCGAAGAGTTGAACTCAACTATGCGACTGAACAACAACAAATGGATCAACAAGGCCGCTGCCTCCAAACTGCAACACTGAAATAAAAATAGCCCATCTGAAAGACAACTGTAAAAAAACATGGAAGTGCTTTGAAACGGCTTGATACTGACCAGAGGATATAAGGGAGTAATACTCCCTTGGTGGCTCAGGACCCACACGTGGCTCTTTGAAATGCTGCCTGTGGCTCTTCTGAGCATGGTCCCCCAATATGGCTCCTGCCTCATGTTCAGGAAAGTGGAGAAGGCCAACGTTTTCATTTCAGACTGTATTCTTCATTGTTACCTTTTTAGCCGCCTTGGGGAGCCTTTGGAGAGCGCAGGAGAGAAGTCTTTTAGCTAAGCCCTCTCTGGGGTTGTTGCAAGGATCATTGGGATAATGTATGTGAAAGGTTCTTGGACATTCCGAAGGATTATATAATTCCTAAGTATTGTTCATATGAATGCAGCACACAAAGACGTTTTTCTCCCTGCTCTCTTTGTGGTAGCTGCATCTATTGTCATGATGTTAACTCAAGGCCCGTGGGCAAAGCTGATTTATTTGGCACAGTGTGAACTCACACCACTTCTGCTCCATTTGGAACTGGCTGGTTTATGCTTGCCTCATCCCATTTTTAAAACTCACCTTTTCTTGTCTCCGTGTCCATGTGCAACAGTCACCCCCCCCCCACTTCTGAAGATGGGGGCACAGAGAGCAGGGTTTGTGTGGCAGATCTTAACTGGTGGGGTGGACGATATGGTAGAACCTAGAGCAGATCAAGACCTTTGGCTACCCCAAGCAGCCTCGTCTCATGCCAACCCTACTGGGTCTAAGCCAGGCTCCAGAGGCAACACCTCTGTAACTCACCTTGGACCAGGGTGGTGGCAGCAAGGATGCCAGGGGCAGTCTAACTGGGCACCCCAAGCAACTGCTAGGGTATTAGAACGGCACCAGCTAGAACATAGAAGTGGTATCCCTCCTAGGGCAAAGGGGATGGGAATGCTTCTTATCCATGCAGGTACTGAGTCTTCTCCAAACAGGCAGTAGACCTCCCACCTGCAAATTGAACATGGACCACCAAAGCAGAGACCAGCCCAGAGGATTAGGAGAAGCAGGCTTCTGGGAAGCCAATAGATGGGATGGGATGTTATGTCAGAGTGCCCTTATGTGCTTTTGAGCAGACATGCTTTCAGTATGATGCACACTGAAGGCAAGCTACATAAGGTGCTGGGAGACTGGCAGTGCATTTACTACTTAAAAATGCTTTGGAAACCTAATCATGGATCTCCCAATCTGGTCCTTAGCAACAGGCCCTGTCTAGTCTAGCCCTTAGCAACAGGCCTTGTTGAATTCAGTGGGACTTCCATGTGAACATATATAAGGTTAGTCTGTAAGTTGCTGGCTTGGTTGATTAAGAAAGCAAAATATATGGACAATGTTGTTAGTGTTGCGGAGGAGTAGCTGCGCAGGCCAGGCTTTGTATATCTAATAGCACTAGGTGCCTCCCCCTTCTGTGCAGATGAAAGAATCTCCAAGGAGGAAGGAATTTAAAACTACAGCGTAGTTTCTGCAAACCTGGAGTAACCCATAGAGTTAAATGGGATAGGTTTAAAAAAGCAGCATCAAATAAAACCAAGACTATTTATTTTTCTTCATTGATACCGTAGCATTACATAAAACCAAAACTTACTAAAAACACCAAGATCTTCCAAGACTATTTATTTTTCTTCATTGATACCACTCCTTTCTTCCCTGTGGGAGCTCAAAACAGCTCACAGTAGCGTACACCTTTCTCCCCTTCTCCATTTTTATGCTCACAGAAACCCTGTTAGGCTCATAAGAACATAAGAGAAGCCAAATGCTGGATCAGGCCATGGCCCATCTGGTCCAACCCTCTGTCACACAGTGCCCCCAAAATACCAGGTGCCATCAGGAGGTCCAGTGGGGCCAGGACACTAGAAGCCCTCCCACTGTTGCCCCCTCCCCAAGCACCAAGAGTGTGTGTGACTGGCCCAATGTCACCCAGTAAAGTGGGGATTCAGACATGCTGCATCTAGTTCAACACTTTAGCCACTATACCACACGGGCTCTACCTTGCGAAACCTCTGCCACTATTTTGGGTTGCCTAGGAGACCTGAATCCCAGAAGTGAGAGTAGAAGACTTGAGGGCCAATGGGAGAAGAAAGAATGTTCCCTCCCACACAGGTCTTTATTGTTTCCCCTCAAATCTTCTGGTGTTACTAACTTTGATGTCTTTGTTCCATTCATTCTCCACTTCCAGGGCAAGCCTTATGCCTTTGACCGTGTCTTCCCACCCAACACCACTCAGGAGCAAGTTTACCATGCCTGTGCCATGCAGATTGTCAAAGGTCAGTCTGGTAATATTGGTAATAGGACGGAGAGTGGGATGGGGTCACATGGAAAGGAGAAGGGTGGTGAGCCAAACTTCTGTTGTGACCATGGATGGATCTCACTCACCTGCCTTTTGCCTTTCAGATGTGCTGGCTGGGTACAATGGCACCATTTTTGCCTATGGGCAGACTTCCTCGGGAAAGACTCACACCATGGAGGTGAGGTTGTGGTATCACAGCTGAGAAGCACTAGCCTGGTGGCTATACCTGGAGATGTGATTTCCCTCCCAGTGGCCCAAAGGGGAGGGTCTGTGGCTCAGTGGAAGAGTTTCTGCTTTGCATGCAAAAGGTCCCAGGTTCAATCCCAGGCATCTCCAGTTAAAAGGACCAGGCAGTAGGTGATGTGGAAGACCTCAGCCTGAGACCATGGAGAGCTGCTGCCAGTCTGAGTAGACAATACTGACCTTGCTGGACCAAGGGTCTGATTTAGCAGAAGGCAGCTTCAAAGCTTTGCTTGAGGAAAGCTTGAAGGAGACTCTGTTATGCTCACGGCAGCCATTTCTCTTCTTCCAGGGCAAGCTGCATGACCCTCAGCTCATGGGTATCATCCCTCGCATTGCCCGGGATATCTTCAACCACATCTACTCCATGGACGAGAACCTGGAATTCCACATTAAGGTGAGGGTCCTCTGGAACTGGTGAGGAGAGATATTAAACAGGATGGCGGTAGGTGCTGGGAACAAAAGAGTAGACCTTTCAAGTGTTGGCGTGACAGAGAGGACGTCCAAAGGAAATGGTTGCGAAGGAGCATTGTAATAGGGGTACCAGGTGGTCACATCCAAGGGCTGGCAAGTACCTCAGGTAGCTGGGCAGTCAGCCAGTGCAGAATAAGAACCTGCTAGTTTTTCTTAGCAACAAGCTACCCATGCTTAAGCAAAACACATCTGGGAGCTTTGTTACAGGAAGTGGTATACAATTGGCTCTCTGATGTCACCTGCCATCCCAGGACCATGAGCACGTGGGTCTGTAATGTCCTGGCTCAAAGCCCCTGCAGCAGAAGTAAACAGAAATAATTCCTCCTCCAGCTCTGTGTCATGGGAGCAGGAAATCTCAAAGCTAAGTCTTTGAGGCCTTGATACAGGATTATCTATATATCTAATAGCCAAGTTGTCCCCTCTGTGTGGATATCTAAATCCGCACATCGGGGGCACTTGGGGGGCAGAGAGATTTTCCTGCACATTTGTGGCAATCCCCAGATGTGCAAAAAAATCTGAAAAGTTAAAAAAAATATATGAGGGATACTTAAATCCCCCCAAAAGTGAAAGAGCGTTCCCTGTGCATACGCAGGGAATGCACTTACCTCGGGGATCTGTGGCCAGAGCTGTTGGTGCTGGCGGCGGCGGTGGGGGGGAGCCTTGGCGGGCTGGTGGCTAGAAGCCCATGACCATTGCTGCTGCTGTTGGTGGCAGCAGCAGTGGGGGAAAGCCTGGCGGGCCAGGCGGCTTGGAGCCATGCAGGGCTCGCCAGTGTTACCGTTGTGGGTGGCAGCAGCAGGGAAGAGCCTGGCGGCCCTGGCAGCTCGGAGCCGTGCAGGGCTCGCCAGTGCTGCTGTTGTGGGCCACAGCAGCGGCGGCGGGGAGAAGGCTTGGCAGCTCGGAGGGAAGGAATGAGGGAGCCGATCCGATGTGGAAAGGGAGCCTCAACCCGCGCCAACGCGATCCTGTCGTCCGCAGAACTGGGGTTTGGGGCCACCACAGGGGCCCGATTCCGCTTTAACCTGCCGCACGCATTAGTCGTGCCCTTTTAGCCATTTCTCCAGGCACCATCCAGCCATGGTGAAACACTTCAAAGTTCTACGGAAGTCAACAGGAAAGAATTAAACTCGTGCCTTAACTTTTTCTACAGGGCTTCGTTTTAAATTGCCATGAAAGTATCTACATTTTCATTACAAATCCCTAGATTGGGAGCTCTCTGCCTTGAGCAGAAACATCCTAAGGCTGCAGCCTTTTGCAATTTAGTGGGGAGAAGCCTTGGCAGCTTGGGAGCCGCGGGAAATACTCCCCCCCCCGCGAGTATCGCGGGTCCCGCTTCTTGTTCTGTCTAACAAGGTGTCATAATCCTAGGCCTATAGTAGTGCGGCCTACAGGCTCTAGGGAGGCCTAGTGGCTCCAGGGAAGCCTGTATTATTTACCAGGTCACCTTTTGGACCCTGTGATTGGTTAGCAGGGGATTTGGAGGGGAAACTTACACCAGTAGAATAGTAGAGGGCGGTGCCTGGGAAGAAGAGATAAAAGGCTTTGTCCAAAGTGGGAGGTGGTCCCCTCCCAGGGAGCAGAGCTGGTGAGGCTGCTGCAGAAAGAGGAATCCCTCATCCAAAAGGGGTGAGTCAGCTTAAGGCCAAATACCTAGAGAAGGCTAGGTACAGCATAGTTAGACACATTAAGGTTTCTTATTTTGCTGGTTTATCTCCTGTGCTCAGTTTTCCTACATGTTATTAAATCACAGTGTTGTTAAATCGCTTTAATAAAGATAGTTTGTTATTCTGCCTGGGTCCTCATATCTCATTCGGTCACTTATAAGGGGAAACCTACTGGAAAAGGAGTGTATAAAGGGGGTAGGGTGAGTGCTCTGAGCCCTCCCGAGGAGACCCGTACCAGACTGGTGGCAGCCATTAGAGAACCTTTCTAGATGCTGCCCACGACACAAGGGTGCAGAGTTTGTCCTACTACTGTTAAAAATGTGAATAATGCCATAAAAGTGAAGTGCTGTGCAAGAGAGGCACAGTCCTCACCCATGAAGATTGTTTCAGGTAATAGCTGTTTTAGTCTTTAGCAGGGGTCGTTTCGTCGAAAAAGAGCTAGGGGAACTCATTAGCATAACTCATTAGCATATGCCACACCCCCTGACATCACCGGAAGTGTGTCATAAGGCCACACACCCCGCCCCCAAGGAGACCCGTACCAGACTGGTGGCAGCCATTAGGGAACCTTTCTAGATGCTGCCCACGACACAAGGGTACAGAGTTTGTTCTACAACTGTTAAAAATGTGAATAATGCCATTAAAGTGAAGTGCTGTGCAAGAGAGTCACAGTCCTCACCCATGAAGATCGTTTCAGGTAATAGCTGTGTTAGTCTTTAGCAGCAGAATAAAAATCGAGTCCAGTAGCATTTTAAAGACCAACATTTCCCCCCCCCAAGGTATAAGCTTTTGTGAGTTACTTAGCATCTGATGAAGTGAGCGTTGACTGATGAAAGCTTATGCCTTGGGAAAGTCTGTTGGTGGTCTTGAAGGTCCTGCTGGACTCAAATTTAATCCTCGCCCAGAGGCTCAAGCTGACCCTCAAGAATGTATTTGGGGAGGAGCAGTGGCTCCGTGGTAGAGCATCTGCGTGGTATCCTGAAGATCCCAGGTTCAATCTCCAGCATTTCCAGTTAAAGAGATTGGGCAGTAGGTGACGTGAAAGACTTCTGCCTAAGACCTTGGAGAACTGCTGCCAGTCTGAGTAGACAATACTGATGCCAAGGGACCAAAAGGTTTGATTCCATATAAGGCAGCTTCATGTTCTGATGTGTCCTCTTGAAGCACATTGGTTTCTGGGACAGGTAGATGTCCACAGGGGTTAAAGCACAGGGACATCAAGGATTCCTCCTTCCGAATTTCCAGTGTCTGTTTTATTCACTCGACTATTTCTCCCCCAGGTTTCCTACTTTGAAATCTACCTAGACAAAATCCGTGATCTACTAGATGGTGAGTGATCTTTAAAAGGATTATATGCAGAATTATGTGGATAGAACTGCAATGCACCAGGGCGCTGGAAGCCAGGAATTAAAAAGAAGGAGTTGATGAGAATCCAGGTACTAGGAATGGGTCTGGCAGTGAATGGAACCGAAGTGAATTGTGTATCCCTGGATTAAGCGACTGTTTGAACTCTTCTCCTCACAAGCCCTGCTCTCTGTGCCCCCACCTGCACAGATGAGGTGTGTGGTGACCAAAGACGGGGCTTTTTCAGTAGTGGCACCCCACCTGTGGAATGACCTCCCCCTTGACGCTCGCCTGGTGCCTACCCTGCTCTCTATTAGGCACTGTGCCAAAGTATTTATTTTTTACCCAGGCTTTTATCTAGGGGGGGTTTGATCTTTAAAAAAAATGTTTTTATGGTTTGTTTCTAGCCTGAGGAGTGTTTTATGATGATCATTTTAGGAAGTTAAATGTTTTATGCTGTATTTGTGCTCTGGCTGAGTTTTTAATGGTTGGGTTTCTAATAGACAGGTCTATGATAATTTGACCGCATTATGATGAAACTAGATTCAGTGGGAAAGAAAATAATGCTAGGAAAAGTTGAAGGCAGTAGGAAAAGAGGAAGGACCCAACATGAGGAGGAATGAAGGAAGCCACGGCCTTCGGTTTGCAAGACCCAAGCAAGGCCATTCAGGAGAACTCTAGGCGGAGGTCCTTATTTCATAGAGTTGCCACAAGTTAGAAGCGACTTGACAGTGTATAACACACACACAGGGCGATTTCTCACTAGAGCTGCCTCGCAGCGCAGCCGCCGTTTGCCCTGACACAAACATGTCAATTTCACACCCGAAGCTGCGGGGCTGCATTTTGACTTGCAGCTTCGCCCGATTTCCTCCGCAGTTTTGTGATCCTGGTTTTTGAGGATCACGAAACTGTGGAGGAAATCGGGCGAAGCCGCGGGTCAAATGCAGCCCCGCAGCCTCGGGTGTGAAATTGACATGTTTGTGTCGAGGCAAACGGCGGCTGCACTGCGAGGCAGCTCTAGTGAGAAATCACCCTTAGTTTCAATGATTTTATGCTGTTTTATGCTTTTGTCATGTTTTGCTTTGACACCTCGGGGAGGTTCTTTGGGGAAGCAGCATGTACATTTAAAATAATGAATAATCTCTCCTCACCCACAGTGACCAAGACCAATCTCTCGGTTCATGAGGACAAGAACCGTGTGCCATTTGTGAAGGTGAGATGCCCGGGAGTGTGTGACCTAGGGCTTCAAGTCCCTGACAAGAATGGGAGGGAGCAGGGCTATTTTTGGGCTGGAACGCACAGGAATGAAGTTCCGGCTGGCTCCCACGTTGGCCACGGCCAGCAGGAACTAATTAGCATAATAGGCCACACCCAACGGCAGAAACGCATTAGGATTGGCTACATTAGGGGTGTGTGGCCTAACATGCAAAGGAGTTTCTGCTTCAAAAAAAGCCCAGGGTTTTGACAATAAACAAAGTAAATAGAATAAGAAGCAAAAGGTGGGTGTGGCTGGATGACCACACTTCTGCGAACATGGGGGTGTGGCTAATGCGATGTGCTATCAGGGTGTGGCCTAATATGCTAATGAGTTTCTACTGTTGGGTGTGGCCTATTATGTTAATGAGTTCCTGCTGGGCTTTTTCTACAAAAAGAGCCATGGGAGGGAGAGCACTGGCGAATAGTTTACCTTAGGTAAACTCAGTTTCAGACTGGGGTAGGGAGGGATGGCAAGATTCATAGCCAGCCTCAAAGGCCCTCTTTTAAATATATTCAAGTTTAAATGGCAAAAAGGCCTTGTTTTAAAAGCATTTGTTGCTTATGCCTCATAATGAACAGAGATACAGATATTACTGAGGAATCACTGGAGTCTACACTGGGGTGGAGAAAGGCTGTCCTCTAATGCCTACTCTTCTTAAATGGTGCCCTGGTTAACCTCCAGGGGTGTTGGGGGGAAGGCATTGGCGAAGTAGAGCTTGGTGAGGTGGTGGTGGGGTGAATATCAGTGGGAAGATGAGGTCACTGCCATGGCTCACAAGTCTAGTAGGCTTTTAGGATTGCCACTTCAGGCTTGGGCAATTCCTGGAGACTAGGGAGGGAGCAGCGTTGGGGAGGAAACTGAGTGGGGTTGTGATGTCACTCCAAGACATCAGTTTATCTTGTAGTGTACCACAGAGTCCACCATCTGATGCTTCCATTTCCCACAGGGGAACTGATACTTGTGGTCTGGAGATGAGTTGTAATTCTGGGAGAACTCTAGGCCCCACTTGGAAGTTGGTAACCATACTTTTTCCTTCACTTGCAGGGCTGCACTGAACGTTTTGTGTCCAGCCCTGAGGAAATCCTGGATGTCATCGATGAGGGGAAATCCAACCGTCACGTGGCTGTCACCAGTGAGTTCTAAGGCTGGACAACTGGGCCGGAATGACTGTGGGGTCGGAGTGGTCTTTGTAGTAGATTTGCATAACTTGTGACTAAGGTTGCCAGGTGGATTCGTCATGCCGGCAGGGGGGGGATTTGGGGCGTGTTTTGAGGGTGGGCGAGGATGGTGCACAATGCACCAATGTCAGTTCCAAGTGACGTCAGTGTGTCAGTGACGTTGGGGGCGACACTGTGCTTTTGGGCAAAACATGATGGCAAAAACTGCCTCAAATCATAGAGTTTTGCCCAAATCATAGTGTTACCATGTGACATCCCTGACATGATGATGTCACTTCTGCATGACATCATTGCATCAAGGATGTCGCCGGATGACATTGCTGTGTGGGGCAGGGTTCTCCGGGTGGTCGGGTGGCCCACAGTGAGAAGGAGCACACAAAAGCAGGGGATCCCCCACCCAGACCTGAGGAATGGTAAGCCTACTTGTGACCCACCACCTCTAACATAGCCAGCTAGCCATTAGGCCCCTGGTAAGCTGCCCTTTGAGACACGTTTGGCTTGGGAGGTCACAAGTTGGGCAGGTTTGTTCTAAACTCAAAGGTGGAGGGAAATGAAGGTACATGAAGATGCTTTATACTGAGTCAGACTTTCAGTCTATCTAGTTAAGCATTGTTTGACTGGGAGTGGTTTTCCAGAGCCTCTGGCAGAAAAGTGTTTTTCAACCTCTACTCATTGAGATCCTTTAACTGGACAGATTAGGAATTGAACTTGGACCTTCTACATGCAAAACACAGACTCTGCCACTGCGTCACAGCCCTTCCCTCATATAAAGATGATTATTTTTATGCTTAAGGAAGGCCAAGATGGTGTGGCTTGAGGCCTGAAAGGCTCTCGCTGAAGAGAAAGAGAGTGTTCAAAGTGAGAAGAGTTCAGAACTGAAGCATTGTGGTGTTGAGGGGTTTAAAATGGCCTCTATTTTCGGTCAGGTTCAGTCAATTGAAGCGTATAAAGTAGAAGGATCTCTTCTGAGGGTCCCACATAATTAATTCTGGGCCTATCGCTTTCTAGAGTTAAATGCAGCCGTTATATTTTATGACACCACTAATTGATGGCATTTAATTTGTTTAAGCCTTGAAGGGTTGTTTGTGGGTATCTGTACTACACACTGGTTTTATACATGTTTTACTTCCATAGCTTCCCTCCAAAGGATTCTGGGAATTGTTGTTTAGTGACAACACTGTGAATTCTCTGTTAGAGACCCTCTTGTCTTCTCTCCTGTGGCTATAGTTCTTGGGAAGAAGGAATAATTGCTGAATCGTTTTTTTAAAAATCTGTGGTCTACATATGTCCTTTCTGCTCCAATGCCCCAAATGTGGGAAGTAGAAACTCTTGGAAACTGAACATAAGTTCTCTATTATAAAGTGAGGAAAAATGGTGCTTGATAATGGGAGGGAAGCAAATGAGTGGCATCAGAGTCAGAATCCCATCATATAGCCATAATACTCAGGGGTACGCAGTAGTGACAGGAAAGGACTACAGGCTTTAGCTCTGGAATTTAAGGTAAGGTCAATGAGATGGGCAGGAAATTCTTTGAGCGACAGCAGTGCTGTGGGAAGGTGTGTTTTGGCTCCTCTGAGTCAAAAGTCAACTAGATACTCTGTGGAAGACATACAACGTGGGTCTACAGAGGACCAAGAAGCTTCCTGTCATGGACCATGGTAGCGCTGCCCCCTAGAGGCAACATTTGTTGTTGCACCCTCTTGCTGTCGACCATTCAAAAGTCAACCTTGAGCAGTGAATGGATCTGCTCTTCCAACAATGGATGAGGTTGTCAGGGTTGTACCACACTGTAGGTGAAAATTGCTCCCCTGCATTTAAAAACCCTATTTACATTTTTTAAAGTGTAAAAGGAGGGATTCCAGTACAGCCATCTCCCTTACATCCTGTTTTTTTTTTAATGCACAGTGATTTTCCCCCCCTCAGTCATTCAGCCTCTTCCCTGCTCTCTGTAGTGATACAGTCAAGGCACAGTTTTACCACCTTTCCATTGAGGCCAGACCTCAGACACAAAAATAATTTCCCCAGGGAAGTGAAGGTCGTGTGATGGAGTCTTCATTCCCTCTGGTTTACGCTCTCATTTCTCCTTCATCTCTGGTTTTGTAGTGCTTCAAGCCCAGGGTTTTGTAGTGCTTCAAGCCCTTGGTTGGTCAGAAAACCACAGTGAAAGCGTGGGTACACCGTTGAGAAACGATACCTCTACAACGCAACCTTCAGTTCTCTGAAGTAGGCCAGCCCTGTACAGGCAAACTTGAGACTAAGCTGAGCTTGAGGAGAGATGGAAAGATCTGTGGATGGATTTATTCATTGTTTGCTCACCCTCGTGTTTATTTCTTGGGTCTCCTGAATAAAAAACCAAAAGCCATGGAATACCTTTTTGTTAGGGCCAATCAAAATGTGACCAGATGTGACATTTATTTATTTATTTTGGGGGGAGGGGAAAAGATTTCAGGAGATGTTCTTATGACCTGGCCATGCCACCATTTGATACAGATACTGTGCTGGCTTGTCATATTTGAATTAGATCTCCTGAATCTTTGGGGGTGGGGAACAGCAGCTGCAGAGTGACTCAATTAGGATCAGAACCATGGTGGTTTAATCCTGTCAGGTTAAACTGCCGTCATTTCCCTCCATGGGGCAAATAGCAGCTCTGGAGGGTGGGGGGATTTGTAACTGGGATAATGGTGTAAAGCGGGGGGGAACTAACCACTTTCCTATGATGTGGTCCTGATCCAAATCAGGGGTCTCCATAACTTCTGTTTTCTCCCCTCACCCCCCAAAAAACCATGCTGGAGATCCATTCATGGATCTTCCATTATGCCTCCTAGTTAAGCCCCAATGGCCCAACTGAACATGGCAAAAAAACCCCTAGATCGTGGGATCTCTGCCTTAGATTTTCCTTTGAAGAGCAGGTTTCATTCCCTCTTTGTCTTTCTCTCTCTCTCTTGTTTTTTTTACCCCTGCAGACATGAACGAGCACAGCTCCCGCAGCCATAGCATCTTCCTCATCAATATCAAGCAGGAAAACATGGAGACTGAACAGAAACTGAGTGGGAAGCTTTATCTGGTGGACCTGGCTGGCAGCGAGAAGGTGCTGGAAGCTTGAGGGGGTTGAAGGGAGGGAGTAGATGGTGTCTCCAGCCTGGGATGGTGGCAGGCAAAGCTTTGTTTCCTCTCACAAACAACCACCTGATATCTGAAATCTACACACAGCCCAGCAGTGCTGGGACATAGTTCTTCATTGGGAGTCAGGAACATGAGGGCTGGCACCAATGTTCCCTCTAAGCTGAGTTAGTGTGAGCTAGCTCACCGTTTTTTAGCCTCCAGCTCACACATTCTTGTCTTCGCTCAGGAAGGATTGCTCCAGAGCAAACTAATTTATGCAGTAGTCAAATCGCTGCACAGAAAAGAATAGGTCTGCAACGCTAGCCCCTGTGATTGGCCGGCAGTATGAAGCGTCTGGATTGGCCAGGCCTGAACTAAAAATAATAGGGGTCTGCACTTTGACTGGTTAGTGTTCTACTTGGAAGTTCTTGCTGCAGACCTCAGGGGACTGTCAGGTGGAGGTGGCCAAATTCCTGTGTGCAGCGAAACCTTGACATTATTATTGTGATTTCATTATGTGTTTTCTTTGTGTGTGTGGGGGGGTGCTCCCTGACTCTCAGTTTTCTTGATGTTCTTTGGGATTTGACTACAGTCCTGATATTTTTTGAAAGGCAGCTGGTTTTCATTTGAAGACTTGAGTGCTGTGCTCATTTTAGTCTTCTGAATATTTATGTCTGTTTGCTCTCTGTCATTTAGATAGCTGTCTATAAAGAAGAGAAACTTGGTCTCTTCTTTCATGGTTCAGCCCAGGCTTCATCAGGCCTTATCCACACCGTGATAATTGAGATCTTCTTTCTCCTGGCAGGTCAGCAAGACAGGAGCTGAGGGTGCTGTGCTGGATGAGGCCAAGAATATCAACAAGTCCTTATCAGCCCTTGGCAATGTCATCTCTGCTTTGGCTGAGGGAACGGTAAAGATTTGCATGCGCATGCATACACCCCCCTAGGGTCATAAGCACTTTGTGTACTCTGAATACCTAAACGTGTGAACCCATTGTCTCTAACTAACAGACTTCCCAGTGGCACAACACAAATCTTATGGGTGTCCTGTGACCACAAAATAATCTAAAGAAGTCTGCAAGCTCTTACTAGAACTCTGAGAATCCAAAAACAAACATCAAATGAAATTTCTAGTCTTCATGAGGGCAGATAATGTGCAGACAAAAATGTTAGTGTTCAAAAAACAAGGGACAGCTGTTCTAGATTATTAGAAAGATAAGTGTATTGATATAAAAGGTGTTGTTAAATTGTGACTCAATGGAAAAAAGACTGTAAGAGAGCTGAAGCCTTCTTATTACTTAAATGTTCAGAAAACAGCTGACATCATACAAGATGATGAGGGGGGGGTCTTCTCACAGGACTTGCGGCAAGGGTGAATGCTCTTGTGAGACTTTGGAAAGAAAGTTTCTATTCCTGGTCAACAAGCAGAGCAGTTTAAAAATGAGTATTTGGTTGGGCATGGTATCACACTGTTAAGTTTAGAAAGAATTAATTTTGGGTACTTATAATAAAGAAAGAAAAGGTCAACTAAATAAGTAAAAAGAAGCTCAGATTGGGAGGGCTTTTTAGTACCCCTAATTTTAAGAATTATAAATCAAGATATTTCTTGATAGGACAACATATGGTAATATTGTAGTAACTTATCAACATATTGCAGTGTGTCATCCACCATGTTTGCAAAGCAAATAGGCTGTGTTGTTAGATGTGTCAAAAAAAATAAGGAAGTTAGCTTGGGATGTGGCCAAAGCTTCCGACTGGCTGGTAATAGCGAACAGGGTGTCCACTTTTGTGAAGGGACCCTCTTTTACCTGCTTCCATTTGGAAGATGGATCTCAAGGTGACTTTGCTTATCTTCAGGGATTGGGTTGATGGTCTTTACCCTTCTAAAAGGTGGTTACGGAGTGCTGGCGGTTGCTCTTATCAGAGTGTGAACGAACCAAATATGTCCACCCATCTTGTCTTATGCAGAAGAGCTATGTGCCCTACCGGGATAGCAAGATGACCCGTATCCTGCAAGACTCCCTTGGTGGAAACTGTCGTACGACCATGTTCATCTGCTGCTCGCCCTCCAGCTACAATGATGCTGAGACCAAATCTACTCTCATGTTTGGACAGCGGTAATCTCCGTGCCTTGTTCCATGTCTTTCCCGAGTGGCTGATGATCAGCCATTCTGTTGTGGTGATTTCATAAGGAGAGAACCAAAGAATTAGTAATGCAGCAATTTCCTGCTTGAAAGTTGCAAGGTTTTGAACACAGTGCTGTTCTTTTTCAGGCGAAGAGCCAAAAACCCCTCAAAACAAATTCCCAAACCCTAAAGCCATTCTCACATGGCAGAGCATGATCACTTGGGGGAATATCTACACTACAAATTTAGTTTAAGAGGCATGCCCTCATCCCTAGTTCTTTGAAGGGCCTAACTACACAATACATTTTTTAAACTATATAATACATTTTTCTGCAGCTGTCCCTGGATTCTGTCAAGCAGATATGCGCTGAGAGTTCAGATCCTGTCAAGCAGATATGTGCTGGTTTCAAGGTGCACGGGGTCCAATTCATATCGGGACCAGAGCACATGGTCCAATTCATATCGGGACCAGAGCACATTCTGTCAAGCAGATATGTGCTGAGAGTTCAGATCCTGTCGAGCAGATATGTGCTGGTTTCAAGGTGCACAGGGGGTCCAATTCAGCTCGGGACCAGAGCACATGGGGAGAGGAAGCTCCAGCCTTTTCCTCATGCTGTTTCCCTGATGTAAAATGGTCCTGGGGTCAGTGCTATTTGCCCCGCTGGCAGAACATAGTCCATTGGTACTGTATGTAGTCCATTGAGGAACCGCATCTCCCCATATATGCTCTGGAGAGCTTTGCACTCTGCCGACCAAGACCTGCTGGTTGTCCCCGGCCCAAGGGATATCCGCTTAGCCTTGACTAGGGCTGGGGCTTTTTCTGCCCTGGCCCTGGCCTGGTGGAACGTGCTCCCATCTGAGATCAGGGCCCTGCAGGATTTATTACCGTTCCACAGGGCCTGTAAAACGGAGCTGTTCCACTAGGCCTCTGGCTGAGGCGACCAAAAAGTCAACCTCCCCTGCTGAAGCTCACCATCTCTATTTGGCCCAGATCAAGCAGACCCCAGAGACCCCCAGCGGCACCAGCTCTGGAGACTGCGTGCACAAACAAATAACGCATTCTGCTTTAAACTGTTGTTCTTAACTGCTTTAATCTGTTTGCCAACGTATTTATATTGTGATGTCGAATGGCCCCATGATCCACTCTGAGACCATTTGTGGGGAGGGCGGAACATAAGTTTGAAAAACAAATAAATAAATATGTTAAGACCCTCTCATGAGGGCCATTTTAAATTAGGGAAGTGGTACAGTGGGGAAGCTGAAGAACTTTCTCACCTGTGCTGTTGGGCCCCTGCACACCTGGGAAACATCTCACCTGGGAACTCTGGGAGCATACCGACTTGACAGAAACCAGGGTGGGCCTAAGTATGGACCTGGAAATAATTTATCGCAGGGGTCCCCCAAAGTGGTGCCTGTAGTTACCATGGCGCCTGCTGACAACTTACCTCACAGCGGCCTTACGTTTTTAGAAAGTGGACAGGGCCAGATGGGGCTCTTGCCCAGCAAGGCTTCTGATTGGCCGTTAAGAGATTTGATCGACTGTGCAGAGTTTTAAAACATTGCCTTGGCACAGCACAAGGATCTTCACGGTGTGACGGAAGGTAAACTGCAGCAGTCAGTTTGTGGGTGACTCCGCCTCCTGCGGCAGTCATTTTATGGCAGCCATTTTGTGGCTGTGCTTCCTACTATGCTGTGTCAGAATTCAAAAGGTCCCTGCATGCTCAAAAAGGTGGAGACCCGTGATGTATTGTGTAGTCAGGCCTTGAGCATGACTAGGGATCACTAACAGAGAAGCCTCAGTAACCTCCTTAAAAGACTGAATTGGGGGAAGGCACAGCAATTAAATCGGTACAGAACCAGCAGAAGGTTGTTGCGTGCCTCAGATTTTGGATAATATTCTGGGGTTTTGTTTGTTCATCTACTGCCCACTTGGTCCGAGACAGTGGGTGTGCTCCAATCTCTTAGAATCAAGACTCTTAGACCTGCCCACTAACACAGGAAATGGTGTGTGATAAGACAGAGGTCTTCCATCTGTCAAAACCTAGTACCCTCTAGCCCTGACCTGGATAGCCCAGGCTAACCTGTTCTCATCAGATCTCAGAAGCTAAGCAGGGGGGCCAACCCTGGCAAGTACTTGGAAGATCTCCAAGGAATACTAGGGTCAGGAGAAAGAGGCAGGCAACCAAGCCACCTCTCCTAGCCCCACTATGGGTTACCAGAAGTCACCATAAGTTCCAAGCACACACACAAATCCTAGTACCTTCTATACAGGAACTTTCACTTAGAAGAAGAAGAAGAGGAGGAGATTGGATTTATCCCCCGCCCTTCACTTGGAGTCTCAGAGTGGCTGACAAACTCCTTTCCCTCCCCTTCCCCTCCCCACAACAGACACCCTGTGAGGTGGGTGGGGCTGAGAGAGCTCTGACACAAACTGCTCTTTTTCAAGGACAGCTGTGCCAGAGCTTGTGACTGACCCAAGGTCATCCAGCAGCTGCAAGTGGAGGAGTGGGGAATCAAACCCGGTTCTCCCAGATTAGAGTCCGCGCACTTAACCACTACACCAAACTAGCTCTCTTAATCCCTGCCCCTATTGCAGGGCCAAGACCATCAAGAATACAGCATCTGTGAACTTGGAGTTGACAGCTGAACAATGGAAGAAGAAGTTTGAGAAAGAGAAGGAGAAGAACAAGACCCTCAAGGAGGCAATGGCCAAGCTGGAGGCCGAGCTCGGGCGCTGGCGCAACGGTGAGAACAGGCACACGGGGGAAAGGGAGGCTGGGTTTGCATTGCCATTGAATTCACAACTGGTTGTTTTCCAAATGAGAAGCAACTTGCAAGAGGTGTTTCTCCATTGGTATCACCATGTAGTTGGTGCACGTGGATCCTCTGCCACACGTGTATTTGTTTACGCTTTGGCTGTCCCCATCTTCCCCCCAAAAATCTGTGAGAATGGCACATCCTTGCAACCTTTCACTGTGATCATATGACAACTGCAAAGACAAAAGGCATGTTTGGTGGTGGTGGGATTGGCATCCTGTTCTTATGGCAAATGGTTCAACCCCTTCTTCATTTGGGGACACTTGCAGCTAATTTTAGCCATGGTGAAGTGAATGCAAGGGTGCAGTCAGGGGAGGGGAGGGTGATGACAAATTTGGGGGGCTGGTCACCCTGGGGACCATTAGTTTCTGTTGAGTCATGTGATACATTTTCATGTGATATTTGGGGTTCAGTCTGGGTGAGGAACAGCCAGTGGGTATCTTGGTCGAAAGACCCACAGTGGCTGTCAGCCACCTTGAGTGAATGGGGAAATCTACCCTCTTTTGACCAGGTGCAACTTTAAAGTATCCTATTTTGGTTACACCAGTTAGCCTCTGCTTGACTGCAGGAAATATCAAGCAGGTACTGGGTGACTGTATGTTGCAATGCAAACCTAACCAGTTCAGTGTGTATTTTCTTCAAATGTAATTGCAACACGAGACATGTAGACAGTCTAAGAAGTGCTATTGAAGCTTCCTGGGACCAGAGGTCATTTCGGGGGGGAACGCAGCCTAGAGTCGGATTCGACCGGCTTTCGAGCAAGGGAACCTTTACCTTTATCTTGGTTGAAAGACCCACAGTGGCTGTCAGCCACTTTGAGCGAATGGGGAAATCTACCCTCTTTTGACCAGGTGCAACTTTAAAGTATCCTATTTTGGTCACACCAGTTAGCCTCTGCTTGACTGCAGGAAATATCAAGCAGGTACTGGGTGACTGTATGTTGCAATGCAAACCTAACCAGTTCAATGTGTATTTTCTTCAAATGTATTTGCAACATGAGACATGTAGACAGTCTAAGAAGTGCTTTTGAAGCTTCCTGGGACTGTTAAGTAAACTGAGCGCTCTGACTCATGGCAACCCAATTAAGTTCCACCTCATGGGTTTTTAAAGGCAGGTGATTTACCATTGCAAAGCAATCCCCGTCTTCCTTGGTGGTCTCCCATCCAAGTGCCAACCCCGCTTAGCTTCTAAATTCTGACGAGATCGAGTTAATCTGGGCTGTTAAAAATCTGTCTCCTCCCAGCTTAATCAATTAATTCCTCTCTCCCTTGGCTGGCTGGATCCATTAATAAATAGTTACAGAGGGTGGTGTTTTAAGAACCTTGTGCTTTGAGGCAATACTAGTCTATGGTCTTTTTTAAAAAGTCATGGTATTGGTCATCATGGTTTGGTAATCATGCTATTAGGAAAATAACTTTGATTTTTTTTGGTAGTGGTATCGTTAATGAATAACAGTTCTGTTTTAAAAATATCAGTAACGTGGATTGCTACAAAGTAAAAAAAAAGTTCTTTATTCCCCCCCCCCAATAAGAGCTTATAATTAATCACTTATTCTTGAGTGTTGTACAGAAAAGCCCAGCTAGGAGAGAACAGGAAATAATTGATTAGGCTGAAAGTTAAGGAACAAATGGAAAAATGCAGGGAGCTCATGATCTTTGCCAAAGGAAGTTGATTTCTGGATAAACATACGGTAGAGTTTCCCCTTTCAGGCAGGAACTGTCAGATCTTTGAATATTGGAAGGAAAGGCGGTGTACAGGATCCTGCCCCCACGCCAGTCTAGGAATGGGGGAAGAACTGTATGTTCACAATACAATACAACAATGCCCAGTTCTAGCACCTCCTCAGAGATGCACTCTTAAAATGCAATGGTAGCGTGTAGCCAACTAGGCACAAGGACTTTAGCCTTGGAGTCAGTTACCCATCAAGCAGACAGTATTTATAACAAGAATAAAGTTTATTTAGTACAGGCTTGCAATCAGAACTAGAAAGACTTCAAAACAAGAAAAACCTATGGCACTTGGCCCTGACTAGACATTAGAGATATGCATAATTACCAGGAGGATCCATAGTTAAGAATGTCCAAGTATCTTGAGAAACAATAGCTCCATCCTTGCAAGCACATAGCTATGTGCTTCAGCTCACAAGGAAATCCTTTGTCTCTGCTAGGAGCCACATGGTAGCATAGCATCCCAGCTGGACAGGCACACAGTAGATCACAGGAACAGAACAGAACAAGAAAGCAAGAAAATCTGAGCTCTTCTCTAAGGGATCAGACAATTGAACCCCAATCTCATTATGATCAGCCATGGCCAGTAGCCAATCGCAAGGAGACATGGGTGTTCACCTTTTGGGGTTGTCATGGCAATTGTTGGGGGATAGGTTGGGTCTGGGAATCATCCTCTGCAGCAAATGACCCCAGAGCCCAACCCACCTTTGGGCCTACGTGCCGGATTGCATGCTTCTGGCCTCTGCCAGCAAGTAAAGGAATCTTTATGGGGGCAATTTGACCAAATGTTCAGCCATCTGGCTTGCATAGGAAGTCAGAACAACAGGGGGTACGTGCCAGGGGGAAGGCAGGGTCTATAGGAATCAATTTTCCTATACAGGCGGCATGGTGTAGTCCGATCTTATCAGATCTTGGAAGCTAAGCAGGGTCGATCCTTGGAAGGGAGACCACCAGGAAGGCTCTGCGGAGGAAGGCAATGGACAGCCACCTCTGCTCCTCACTTGCCTTGAAAGCCCCTTGCTGGGGTGGTTTGATGGTACTTTACAAACACAAGGTGACTATTGCTCTCTATTAAGTGCTATGTGGAAACTTCCATTTCTAATTCTCCTTGCACTATTGCACTGAAAAGGTTTCCTTTGGCACTGCAAAAAAGATTACTGTATGCAGAGCTGGTTTCAGGTTTTGGTGGCCCCCCGGACAGAGAGTGCCTGGCGCTCCATTGCCTCCTCTGCTTGACACTGTGGCCTTCCTGCCTATCTGTCTGTGTTCTCCTCCCCCACTGCCTACCCATCCATCCTTCCCCCACCCACTTGGTCATTTTCCAGTTCTCCCAGGGCTCTCCCAGTGAGCTGGGCAGAGCATGTAGCTGGAAATGCAGTTGGTGGGGAGGGCTCACAACAAGCAGATGGCAACCGTGGAGGCAAGTGAGTGGGGAGTGGCGGCAGTGGGCCCCACGGCAAGACTTGGGCCTTGGCAGCTGCCCCACCTCAGGGTATGCTGATGCCAGCCCTGCTTGTGTGGTACCAGACTGTGCAGTATGCCCTGGTTCCTATGTGCTGTTTGGACCATTAGAGGCAGAAGCATCCTGGATTGCAGGGAACTGGAAGCAATGAAAAAGTGCACCAACATGCCTGAATCTGATTCCCTCTGGGAAAGTCCCATGCTTCTAAAACAGAGTGAAGGAATGTGACTTGCCATGTGGTCAGTGGCCTCCACACTGCTTTATCACTACCTGAAGGAGTCTCAGAGCCGCTTACAATCTCCTTCCCTTCCCCTCCCCACAACAGACACCCTGTGAGGTAGGTGGGGCTGAGAGAGCTCTTTCAAGAACTGCTCTTGAGAGAACAGCTCTGAGAGAACTGTGACTGACCCAAGGTCACATCAGCAGCTGCAAATGGAGGACTGGGGAATCAAACCCGGTTTTATTATAAATAAATAAATAAATCACCAAGAGAGCAGTGAAGCAGTAAGGGGGTGACTTTGAAGGTACTAGTGATGGATCCAAAGGGTTTGCTGGGAGGAGGGGGGACTGCCCAAAGATGGCCAAGCTGACCCTCTCCTGTTCTCACAACCGAAATGCTTCCAGGAGAGAACGTCCCAGAGACGGAGCAGCTGAGCGATGAGGAGAAGGTGGCGGTCGACACCTGCGATGAGACGCCCATCAACGACAACAACCCCGTCAGCCGGATTTCGGAAGAAGAGCGGCACAAGTACGAGGAGGAGATCCGCAAGCTCTACAAGCAGCTTGACGACAAGGTCAGAGCCCCTGTTCTGGTGTGGGAGAGACCTGCTTCCACCCACCCCCCACCATCTCCTTAGTGCTGAGACCCCTTCTTGATGCTGGTGGTCCTGTTCTCATCGGAGTCCCTTTCCCCTCTGTGCCTGCTGGCCCTTTGCGAGAAATCCCAGGCTTCTGCGTGTAGATCCATGCTCCATAGGTGCAGCACGAGGCAGCTAATGCTGAATCGATTCCTTTCCATCCAGGATGATGAAATCAACCAACAGAGCCAGCTGATGGAGAAGCTCAAGCAGCAGATGCTGGATCAGGAAGAGGTGAGTGGTGAGCATAAGAGGTGCCCTGCTGGATCAGACCAGTCAGGTTGCTTTGTCGGTAGTATCCTTTACCCCTCTGCCTAGTTGTTCTGAATCCCGTCTCCTTCCACATCATCATTTTGGGGATTCCCCCTTACCTCCAGTTTGGTGTAGTGGTTAAGAGCGCGGACTCTAATCTGGGAGAACCGGGTTTTATTCCCCACTCCTCCACATGCAGCCAGCTGGGTGACCTTGGGTCAGTCACAGTTCCCTCAGAGCTGTTCTCTCAAGAGCAGTTCTCAGGAGAGCTCTCTCAGCCCCACCTACCTCACAGGGTGTCTGTTGTGGGGAGGGGAAGGGAAGGAGATTGTAAGCGGCTCTGAGACTCCTTCAGGTAGTGAAGGACAGGGTATAAATCCAGGGTATAAATCCTGCCACCTCCAGCCTGGCATCTTTCTTGGACTTATCTTGGCTTTCTTGGGCCTTTGCCTATCCACCTCTCTGCCCTCTCTGCCAACCAGCTCCTCATGTCAACCCGCGGGGACAATGAGAAGGTGCAGAGGGAGCTGAGCCACCTGCAGTCCGAGAATGACTCCGCCAAGGAGGAAGTGAAGGAGGTGCTGCAAGCACTGGAGGAGCTGGCTGTCAACTATGACCAGAAATCCCAGGAAGTGGAAGAGAAAAACCAGGAGAATCAGGTGTTGGTGGATGAGCTGTCCCAGAAAGTGGTAAGTGCGGTGGGTCAGACAGTGTCCCGCACAAGGCGGTCAAGTCAGGATCCAGCATTATTCCATAGATCCTGTTCTAGCAAAGGCTGTGGGCGAAATGAGGCCTTAAAGGCTACTGCAAGGGGGTGGAGATAGAGGCTCCTCCCCTCCAGGACCTGGCTTTCTAGTGTTTAAAAATGCCGTGCCTGATTTTGGCAGCAAGGGCTGCAGTGGGGGCAAGGTGGTTCAGTGTCTGAATCCAAAGGCTGGGCTGTTTCCCATGGTGAACAGACTGGCTTTCCCATGGTGAACAGACTTCCCTCTAAGCTGAGTTAGTGTGAGCTAGCTCACAGTTTTTTAGCCCCTGGCGCACACATTTTTGTCTCAGCTCAGGAAGGATGGCTCCGGTGCAAACTAATTTATGCAGTAGCCAGGGCTCTTTTTGTAGATTAAATGATCTGGTCAAAGGGGGTTGGGAGGGACCAGACCAAGGGTTAGATCCAGACCAAGGGTTAGATCCATTTCCTCTCCTTACCCCAGCCCACATCCTGCATGGTTTTCTCTATGCAGATTCCTTTTTGGGTGGTCAGTGGGGAACTTGCTTTCCTTTTTCACCAGCAGAAAAACCGGTTCAATCCAATCCTGAATCTCGGCTGAGGTTCTGTAGAAGTGTAGCCAAAAGCATACAATGTGATATCAGATTTGGCACCCTGAGAATTCATTTTTAATTTTTTTAAAAAAAAGAAGAGTATGTTTCTAGCCCTTATAGCTGCAAAGATATCCTTGAACATGTTACGGTTGCCAGGTCCTACCTGGCTGTCAGTGGGGGGACTCCCGATTCTTCCTGGACTTCTTCTGATGAGTGTGTAAAGTGCACATGCTGTGATGATGTTTATCCGATGTTGGGGGGGTGATGTTCTTTTGTGGTTTTGGGACAAAGCCGGGGGGGGGGGGTTGGGTCTCAAAACCATAGAGTTTTGCCCAAAACCTAGAGCATCGCCCCCAGTGTCAGAAATGTGATGATGTCACTGCTGGGTGGTGTCATTGCACTGGCAGTGCTGGGAGGGGGCTGCAGTGGATTGGGGTCCCCAAAATTGGGGGATCCGCTGGCCCCACCAGGGGAATGGCAACTCTGAACATGTGCAGGCAAAGCCCACTGGAATCTCAGAAGCCAGAGAAGCTGCCAAATAGATTTCTCATGCAGTAACGGCGAGGCTCTGGCATCCTGCATAGCCCATTGCTCCATCCCACCGCTGATAGCAACCCATCAGAAATTACACAAAGTAGTAACTACAAAGCAGAGTAAACGATACATGTTAAACAGATGTTCTCATGGTTTGCATAATTTTATACAGATTGCCAGGGGTCATTTCGTAGAAAAAGAGGAGCAGGAGCTCATTAGCATAACTCATTAGCATACCCTATTTGCATATGCCACACCCCCTGACATCACTGGAAGTGTGTCAGAAGGCAATACCCACCGCTCAGGCTCCACTGGACCGTTTTGGATTGCTAGCTATTGGGGGGGAGGAGACGTGCAGATCTGTCCTCGCAGAGGAGGGAGAGCTTGTACCTGAATAAAACTTGGTCTTAAAGGTGCCACTGGACTGTTTTGGGCTGGGGGAAGCTCTGCAGCTTACCTGGCTGCTTCTTGCTCTGGCTGAGGGCTGCTGAGAGCAGGGGGTGGGGCTTGTTGCATGTGCCCGCCCCCTGGGCTCTTTACTGCCGGAGCTCCGCTCCTGTGTGCTCCTGCAGGAAATGACCCCTGCAGGTTGCCAGGTTCCATATGTCTTGGTGCAGAATTTGGCTACCTTGGGAACAGAACTATTTTTTTCTAGCACAGAGTATACATAACTCTGCTTATGAGTGGTAAGAAATTGATAGTTGTTGGTCAGGTTAAACTAACGAAGGGAAGCCCCCCTCCATGACTTGCTTCCCCAGTCTGAATCCTATATTTATTCCTCTTGTGCTTGGGTATTCCTTTTTGACAGTGAGAGTTGTTCAGCAATGGAATCAGCTGCCTCGGGAGGTGGTGAGCTCCCCCTCACTGGCAGTCTTTAAGCAGCGGCTGGATGGACACTTGTCAGGGATGCTCTAATCTGATCCTGCATTGAGCACGGAGGGTTGGACTGGATGCTCTGTATGGCCCCTTCCAACTGTTTGATTCTGTGAATCTATACTTTGAACTAAAGTGCAGTTTAGAGCCTAGGGTTGCCAGCTCTGGGTTGGGAAATATTTGGAGATTTTGGGGGTGGAGCCTAGGGAGGGTGGAGTTTGGGGACAGGAGGGACCTCAGCAGGGTATAATGCCACAGACTCCAAAGCAGCACATTTTCTCCAGGGAAGCTGATCTGTATTGCCTGAAGATGAACTGTAACAGCAGAAGATCTCCAGGCCCCACCTAGAGGTTGGCAACCCTACTAGAACCTGTTTGGAAAGCTGGAGCGTAGCCCTGGAGTTTGTGGATGACCAATTCCATAGACAATATCCATCTGGAAGAGACAGGTTGCATTAACACTAATGAGAGCTGTGATCTGTTTCTCTCCGAAGCTTGTGTCTGCGAAGTCTAGTCCATTCCAGAGGGTTGAACTGGGAGGAAAGCTCTGTTCCTTTCATCTACCCCCAATTACTGTATTAGATTTAGCTTTATTGACAAATCTCTTTCCACTCCCAAGGGAACCCTCAAAACAGCTAACAGTCATCAGTGAAAGTGACATGAATTCAGCGTTAGGAGGAACAGAAAAAAATTAAAACAGAAGATGATAGAAAATTATCAGCGGTGAAAAAACAATAACTATGCTCTTGGTCTAGAGACCATGGCTAGGAGGTTAATGATGCAGCAACCTTGCTGAAAGGAGCTGCGGTGGCTCAAGTGGTTAAGATGCTGAACTGCAGGCTGTGGAAGGGCGGTAGTTCAGCAGTTCGAGACCCGAGTGTGCCGCATGACAGAGTGAGCTCCCGTCTCTAGTTCCAGCTCCTGCCAACCTAGCAGTTCGAAAGCAAGAAATTGCAAGTAGATAAATAGGTACCACTTTGGCGGGAAGGTAACAGCGTTCTGTGCGCCGTGGTGTTTAGTCATGCCGGCCACATGACCACAGAAATGTCTTCGGACAGCGCTGGCTCTTCGGCTTTGAAACGGAGATGAGCACCGCAACCCTAGAGTCAGATTCGACTGGCTTTCGAGCAAGGGAACCTTTACCTTTAACCTTGCTGAAGCGAAGTGCATCCGTGTCTGGTCGGTGCTTGAATATCTAGGACACCTCAAACACACATAGGCTGCCTTGAGTATGCTTAAAGTTGGGGATATGAATACCGTAAAGAAATCAAGACTCCTGTCCTTGCAAACTGGAGGATGACTAATGAAAGAGAGAGAGTGTGTGTGTGTCTCCCTGGCACTGGCTCAGCCATCTCTTCCCATTCACAGGCCTCCATGATGTCCTTGGAGTCAGAGCTGCAACGGCTGCAGGAGTTCAGTGCGCATCAGCGCAAGCGCATCGCTGAAGTGCTCAACGGGCTCATGAAGGATCTAAGCGAGTTCAGCGTCATTGTGGGCAATGGTGAGATCAAGCTGGTAAGAAAGAGGGAAAGTCCTGGGGAGCCAGACCAGTTGTGGCTTAAGGCAAAGGTACTTCTTGGAATGCCTGATGGATTTGTGTAACTCTCTGCATTAGTAGCACCTGCATTGCCCAAAGCAAGGGCTAACAGCAAGGCGGCTTATAAAATCACTTGGTCGGCTGGCCAAGAGAAGCAGGACTGTATTTTAAACTTTATTTCATGTTGTATTTTTACACATTTTAAATGTTGCCTGTCCAGATACCTGCTTGAGGCGGCTCATAAAAACAATAAAATCATAACAGCATAAAAATCATCAATAATAAACGACAAAAACATGCTAGGGACATAAAAACAGCATTCAGGAGCCTAAAAGCGTATTCAAAAAACAGCGCGCAGACTAGAAGCAGATCATAAAAGTAGCTTAAAGAGATGGAACACTTCAATTAAAAGCATGAGTAAAAAAGTAATCTTTTTGGATCTTAACCGGTAGGTGGGACAGTATGGGGAAAATTCCCCATCCCTAACCCATTCAGGTCTACTTCCTGGAAACAGGTGGGCAGCTGGTTCTGTCTGTAAAAAGTATAGTTCTGATACCGGGGTCATTTTTTATTTTTTGCCGTCAAGTCGCACCCGACTTGTGGTGACTTCATAGCGTTTTCAAGGCGAGAGACGGTGGGTTTGCCTCTGCATATCAGCCCTGGACTTCCTTGGTGGTCTTCCATCGAAGTACAAACCAGGGCCAACCCTGCTTAGTTTCTGAGATTTGATGAGATCAGACTAGCGTGGGCCATCCAGATCAGGGCTTGGGATCAAACAGACCATGATTAAGTGAGGGGTTTTTTTTTGTTTTTTGGGGGGAGATGTATTTCTCAAGAATCTCAAATTTCATGTAAAAATCTGAAATTATATTAAATATCAGGGTACAACTAAATAAGGAGCAAAATACCTGAGGAGACAGGGATCAGTCACTGGCACAGTGATAGAAAGAGACCAGGACTCAGGGAATCAGCCACTCAACGCAACTGCGCCTCTTCCACAGAAAAGGCCACACATCAAACCGAGGCCCAATGTACCTTGCAAAAGAAGGTGTTGTATAGGCCAAAGGTGTTGGGTGGCTCTACATAAAGAGAGGCAGTCATTCCAATTTGTGGCTCCCTGGTCATGAACGAGAGCCAGTGTGGTACAGTGGTTAAGAGTGGCAGACTCTAATCCGGAGAACCAGGTTTGATTTCCCACTCTTCCTCCACGTGAGGTCAGCTGGGTGACCTTGGACCAGTCACAGTTCTCTCAGAACTCTCTCAGTCCCACCTGCTTGTTGTGGGGAGAGGAAGGGAATGTGATTGTATGCCCCTTTGAGACTCATTAAGGTAGAGGAAAGTGGGGTATGAAAACTTCAGCTGCTTCTTGGATAAAAGTACACGGGTGGTAAGGAATGTTAGCTTTGGTTTATCCACAAAGTTTACTCTTTGTCTTCAATGCCTAAGCAAAAATGTACATTCTGCTAAAGAGGGGGGATTACTTAAAAATACCTTCTCCTATCGTCCTCTCAAGGTGATGTATGAATAGACAGCACTGTAAGGATTCAAAGTGCCCTGATGTGGGGAGTTCCCTGCACAGAGCACCTAGAGTTTGTTTTTCTCAAAAAATCAGGGTTATGGGTGCACGATTCGGATTGGGACCACCATATGAGGGTAGTGGAATTAGGCCTTCTACACACACACCATTTTCCCAATCTGAAACAGCCCTGGGGAACTGTGGTTTGGCCTGCGCTGAGGTAAAATAAGATACACAAGCAGTACCAAAATGTTTATTGAGGTCGAACATGAAAGTTGCTACCCCCTCTCTGCTGCTGAATAAGACTCAGACTTTAACATAGGCTAAACTTGGTTCTGGCTAGCCTGATCTCATCAGATTTTGGAAGCTAAGCAGGGTCAGCCGTGGTTAGTACTAGGTTGGGAGACCACAAAGGAGGTCCAGGGTAGCTGTGCAGAGACAGGCATTGGCAAACCACATCCAAATGCCTCTTGCTTTGAAAACCCAATAGGGGTCACGGTAAGTTGACCGCACCTTGACGACACTTTCTACCATCAGCAGCTTGGTTCTATGGACCATTGTGACACGGTTGAGCTCTCTGTGCCCAGGATAGACAGGGATGCCTTTCCTGCTAGGTCTCCACCCCCTCACCATCCTGCTTCCTTGCCCCCAGCCGGTGGAGATCAGTGGTGCCATTGAGGAGGAGTTCACGGTTGCCCGGCTCTACATCAGCAAGATAAAGTCGGAGGTGAAGTCTGTCGTGAAGCGCTGCCGGCAGCTGGAGGGGCTGCAGGTCGAGTGTCACCGCAAGATGGAGGTGACCGGCCGGGAACTGTCATCTTGCCAGCTTCTCATCTCTCAGGTCAGTCCTGGGACGAGGGTTGCCAGCTGCAGCTTGGGAAATACCTGGAGGTTTTGGGGGTGGAGCCTGAGGAGGGCGGGGTCTGGGGAGGGGAGGGACTTCAATCGGGTATAATGCCATAGAGTCCAGGGGAACTGGTCTGGTCTCTGTCACCTGGAGATCAGCTGTAATCCCTGAACATCTCCAGCCACCACCTGGAGGTTGGGAACACAGCCAAATCAGGAGTATAAATGCTATGTAGCCCTAAACTCTAAAATGGAAACTTTATTAACAATACTATACTATTTATTGTCTTAAAGACAATAAATGTAACAATCAATGTTACAACATAACCATACAGCAAAAAATGGTAAATGAAAGCCGGCTCAAATAGTTGAATGCCTCCAACTACAGTAGTTACATTTCAGTTACTACCTTTGTTAATATTATCTAGTTGGGAAGCCCGTTTATGTGGATCGTTAACCAGACTGTGAACCCTTCATGGGTCCATGATAATCATGTGAAATTGTCCTTTTTGTGAAATGGTATACAACAGACACGATTGAAAAAGATCTCGAAACAAGGTCACATCTGGAATCCTTGTCTCATGACAAATGTGTATTATTGATTCCACGGCTGCATACAGAGACCGGAGCTGCGTTACGCGTGAAGACGTTCACAACGTCCCTGCAACTGTTTACAGTTTGATTTGTACTACATCGCTCCTTTTGCGGGCAGTTCTAAGTTATGAGCTGGGTTTCAGTTACAATTTTTTGCTGTATGTTTATGTTGTAACATTGATAGTTAAAATGTATTGTCTTGAAGACATTTGATAGTATAGTATTGTTAATAAAGTTTCCGTTTTAGAGCAGTTTAGGGCTACATAGCGTTTATACTCCCTTCTACCACCTGGAGGTTGGCAGGTATAGCTGGGACACAGAGAAAGCGAGTTGCCAGCTCTGGGCTGGGTAATACCTGGAGATTTGGGGGGTGATCCCTGGAGAGGGTGGGGTTTGGGGAAGAGAGGGATCTCAGCAGGGTCTGACGCCACCCTCCAAAGCAGCCATTTTCTCCAGGGGAACAGACCTCTGTATTTTGGAGATCAATTGTAATACTGTGAGATCTTCAGGCCCCACCCTACACAAAGGGAAAACAGGTATGGGGCAAAAAGATGGAGGACCTTAGCATGTCCTGTACCAAGAAACCCAGGCTCTACTAGGAGCCTTGCAACCCTAAACTCCACAGGAAGTAACTTTGCTGGGTGTAGGGGATTCAGAGCAGGGAAATGGGGAGTAAGGAAAGGGTTAAGCCTTCCCTCTGCCCTGTGGCATCGCTGATCCTTCACCGGAAGGACTTTTCAGCCATTCGGGGTTCTGTGTAACATCAAGTTTAGCATTCAGAACGTTCACCTGAATTCAGAACGTTCACCTGCGTTGAGGATAAAACGGAGGAGAGGAGAAGGATGTGAGGCGCTTTGGGTCTCCATCGGGGAGAAAGGCCGGGTACAAATGAAAGAAGTAAATCAAAAAATAAAGCGGCTCTTGGATCTCTTCACCCCACTCTCGTTCCGAAACACGGAGAACAAGCTGAGGGGGGAGGGGGCAGTAATCCTGGGAACCCCACTGAGGGGTGAGCTCATGCTATTCTTGTGAAGTGCGATCCCTGGCCTGACGGTCCTTCTACCTCAACCTTCCCCTTCCTCCCCCAGCATGAAGCAAAGATCCGCTCACTCACCGAGTACATGCAGAGTGTGGAGCTGAAGAAACGGCATCTGGAGGAATCCTACGACGCCCTGAGTGAAGAGCTGGCGAAGCTCCAGGCCCAAGGTGGGTGTTACAGGGCCGGATGATGCTACATATGACGTTAGGGGGCTCAGCTGTACATTGCTGTTTCTTCCGTGCTTATTTCAAACCGGTTTTTGTCTTTTGCAAATTTAGCTGCAGGGACTGCTTTTCAGAGAAAAGAAGGCTGTGGGGAAAGGGGAAAAACTTGAACCTTTTCCTCCTCTGCTGTTTTCTTGCTGGGAAAAGCACCCCTCCCCTGATTTCTGTTACACTCCACACACACACACTTGGGGAAAGCTCACAGGTACCCATGCCCCTAGTAAGGGTACAAGGCAACTTAGGAATGGGGTTTTTCCCCCTGAAAGAAAATGGCAGGGAAGGAAAGAGTTCAAGTTTCTCACTCTTCTCTTCCAGACTGTTTAGCTGCCAGGACTGCAAAACAAAAGAAAATGTTTACAATGATGAAATTTAAGTTGATCCCTGACATGCAGCATCACATATACATTTATTTATTTATTTATATCTTCGATTTCTACCCCGCTCCAACCCCGAAGGGTCTCTGAGCGGCTTACAAGTTCCAAATGTATCCCTAGCTAAGGCCACATATCTAGAGGGGTTGGGGCTGCCTACCGGCACCCATGTGGCAGGGCTCGCTGTTTTTCTTAGTTGTTCTTTCTCGGGCGGTCTTTTGGGTGTCAGTGCTTGGTTATTACATACATGAAACTGCCTTGCACTGAATCTGACCCTTGGCCCATCAAGGCCAGTACTGTCTATTCGGTCTGGCAGGGGCTCTCCAGGGTCTCAGGCAAGGGGGTCTTTCACATCACCTACTACCTGGTCCTTTGAACTGGAGATGTCTGGGATTGAACCTGGGACCTTCTGCATCCCAAGCAGAGACTCTTCCACTGTGCCACAGCCCCTCCATTGGAGTGCCTTGTGCGGTTTCTTCCATAAAATAGTCAGTTGGTTTTTAATATGGACTACTTTAGCCCCTGAGAATATGGGGGTCGGCAGCCTTGTCTTCTCACGAGTGACCCCCATTGTGTTTGTAAAAATCCCTGTGTATAAAAAAGACTAGAGCCATGCCTGCTGAATGGCAGCAAAGCAGCTAGTGGGAGGGGCAATTGTCTAATTCAGCCCTGTGAACTGGCCCTCAGCTGTTTGTTTGTCACATCTCTTGAAAATACCACGCAAGCTGGATGGTGCGCATAAGCTGCCATCTGAATTACTAATTGAAGGCCCTACTCTTGGGAGAAACCTAGGCTAACATATCCTCTCCCAGAGACATCAGTCCAGCAGGATCAGGACACAGTTGACATGGGAGAGCATTAAGACGTGTGCAACGTGCTGCAGTAAGTGCTCAGAGGGGGGAGGGTCAGAGATCCCTTGTGGAGAACAACTGGATTATCCTGGCTTCAGATTCCCTCCATCCTTGAGACCTTCCAGTTGTCTTCACCACTGGGTTCTTTATTGCTACTGTTTTATCTTGTGCAGTTTGGTGTCGTGGTTTGGTGTAGTGATGAAGAGCATGGACTCTAATCCGGAAGAACCGGGTTTGATGCCACACTCCTCCACATGCAGCTGCTGGTGTGACCTTGGGTCAGTCCCAGGTTCTCTCAGAGCTGTTCTCTCAAGAGCAGTCCTCAAAAGAGCTCTCTCAGCCCCACATTACCTCACAGGGCGTCTGTTGTGGGGATGGGAAAGGAAAGGAGATTGTAAACTGCTCTGAGACACCGAGTGAAGGGCAGGGTATAAATCCAATCT